TCTGGTTACACGCAACGCTATCTTAGCAAAGTAAAAAACGTACCTTAAATTTTTGTTTGGGAATTTGGGTGCTGGCTGAAATGTTGCGGACAAATTGGCACTAGATGTGTGATGTGGTCAATATTACAGCATCCGCCTTTACTTTCCGTGACATTTTTATTAGTACTCGTCTTGATCGACCTAGATGCCCAGGTAGACTTATACAAATCCCCTGTGTTTCGGATTTAAAGGATCTACTTGAATAAATCAACGGATGTAACATGCGTCTAGACGGGTTGCCATGCGCTGTATTCATTTCTTGACTCGTTGTGATCCGTTCATCTGCTATAGTATTTGAGGTAAGCAAATTTTCAAAAATTTGAGAAACCTAGGGACGGAAGTTCCCTATATCTGGTGGCTATAGACGGTTAGATTCACAAAGGGAAAATCTAGGGGGAAGAGAAAGGGGACGGGAGAGCTCCCTTATAATTGTTAGAGGGTGGGTCTCAATAAGAGAAGACCTTGTTTAATAATAACTATTATAATTATGATGTGCTAAATGGTAAATATATAAAAAAGTACGTTTGAAATAATATGAAATGTATAAACAAATGCTTAAAAATACGGTGTCTGTGTGTGTTTGGGGAGGGGGCGAACTTAGCAAGAGAGAGTGTGTGTGTGTGTGTGCGTGTGTGCGGGCGGGGTGTGTGTGCAGACGGCTGGGTATGTGTAAGTGTGTGTGTGTGTGTGCGTGGGTGAGCTTACCTGTCCCAACAAGCCAAATAATTTTCCTGCATATTTTGACAGTGCGAGAAGGTGCGGTGCCTGGCTCATCGTTCCACTTCTTGGTGCGCAGAAACCTCAGCAGGAGGACAAACACTAAAGAGACAAGTCCCATCGTCAGGTCCCAAACCCTGCGGACGCAAACAAATGAAGTCTGTGTTTCATCGACAACTTTAGTCACATAATAATCAAACAAGCTGAGAAACATCTTTAGTGCATTTCAAAAACCATGCTGTCACAACAAATATCTTGAAAACTCCTTTAGGGATCACCATCAGTTTTTGCGTGTGACCTCAGATTTCCCATGTCTTTATACTTTTATAATTTACAATAGCACAGGTGCTGCTGATTTTAAAGCGGCGAATTTCTTTGATCTTTGTTTGACTGATAATGCGTGAACGCTTAAAAATAAAGAATATACGGTAATTGATACAAGTGTTGCAGATTGTTTAGAAATCAGTGCACATGCACAGCGATGCGTAGCGATTAATATGATAGTTTATCCCGCGCGCGCGCGCACACACACACACACACACACACACACAATTGTGTTCATCTAACTAACTCACTGAAGGCCAATGCTCGAGATGACCACATGAGAGTGAAGTGCGTGTGAAACGGGTGCTTTTTGATGTTTTGACAAGTTCCAGATACTAAGTCTACTGTAAACATGCTGATTTTTGGCTTTAAATCTATGTTTGCCCCCTCCCCCCCACCTCCCTTTTTTCCACATACCGCAAACAAGGTAAAATAAAAAGTGAATGGTTGTTTAGATTTTGAAAAAGAACAAAAACCTCACAAGGACATGATTATAAACAGGTTGCTTGCTCAATTTCAACAATTTACACCGAACGATTACTGAGTTACAGATTTTTATAGTTGGGTACGACTTTGGGAACAGGACTGTAGCGGTGGTGGAAACTTTGTGTCTGGGGGAAAGTGCAGAGACTATCTTCTTCTTCTTCAGCGTTCACCGGCTGTGAACGACGGTGGAATGTAGTCGTTTGTACACTCTTCCTTGTTGTTTGTACAATTCTCTTGGTTGTTTGTACACTTCTCTTGGTTATTTGTACACTTCTCTTAGTTGTTTGTACACTTCTCTTGGTTGTTTGTACACTTCTCCTGGTTGTTTGTACACTTCTGTTTCGTACACTTCTCTTAGTTGTTTGTACATCTTCCTCTTGGTTATTTGTACACTTCTCTTGGTTATTTGTACACTTCTCCTGGTTGTTTGTACACTTCTCTTGGTTGTTTGTACTCTTCTCTTGGTTGTTTGTACACTTCTCTTGGTTGTTTGTACTCTTCTCTTGGTTGTTTGTACACTTCTCTTAGTTGTTTGTACTCTTCTCTTGGTTGTTTGTACACTTCTCTTGGTTGTTTGTACACTTCTCTTGGTTGTTTGTACACTTCTCTTGGTTGTTTGTACACTTCTCTTAGTTGTGGTACTCTCTTGTTGTTTGTGTTTGTACACGTTGTCTTCTGGTTGTTTGTTGTGTTTGTACACTTCTCTTACACTTCTCTTCGTTGTTTGTACACTTTCTCTTGGTTGTTTGTCTCTTTGTTGTTTTACACTTCTCTTGGTTTTTGTACACTTCTCTTGGTTGTTTGTACACTTCTCTTTGGTTGTTTGTACACTTCTCTTGCGGTTGTTTTTACATCTTCTCTTGGTTGGTTGTTTGTACACTTCTCTTTGTTTGTACTCTTCTCTTGTTGTTGTTTGTTGGTGTTTGTACACTTCTCGTGTACACTTCCCTTTGTTTTTTTTGTTATTTTGTTTGTTTGTTCGTGCCCTTTCAAGTGAAAGGTGAATGTGAATGTAAGCCTGATCGAACTGTCAATGTTTGCTAGCACATCATCTGCCGCACACACAACAAAATACGAGAGAGAGAGAGAGAGAGAGAGAGAGAGAGAGAGAGAGAGAGAGAGAGAGAGAGAGAGAGAGAGAGAGAGAGAGAGAGAGAGAGAGAGCGCAAAGAGCGGGGGGGGCAGATATAAATACCTGAATGGCTTGGCCATGGATGGGGCCACACAAGAGCACTGATCTGAACTTCCATGGTGACGACTCTAAGATTGATAGAAAAATGAGGCAGGGGGGAGTCTTAGAGATAAGTGGCCATGTCGATGATGCAAGAAAAGAGGACAGACCTGATCCTTGATTCCGCTGTCTGTAGGAGACTGCAAAACATGAATGCATACGATCAGCAGGGCACATGATGATGATCAGTTGCTTACCGCGTGTCGGGAATCTTAGACAAGGTTTCGTAGACCATGGGCAGAAACTCGCTGGAGATTTTCTTGAGTCCAAGAATGTTCTTTACAAGTTGAGGACGGGGGGGGGGGGGGGGGGGAGAATAATGTGTTCAATAATTCTTAAAATGATTTTAAATATACAAAAAAAAAAAAAAAAAAAAAAATTAGCAGAAACATAATTAAAGAGACAATCTTTTTTTTTCGTTTTTTTTTCTCTCTGTCTCTCTAAAGGCATAATGAGCGTGTACCGATGCAACAGAAAGCCATTTGCAAATCAGTTTACCCACCAACGCCAGTCGAACAAAACATTATTCCCTGTTCTAATGTGGGACAACATTTTCTCTCTCTCTGTGTCTGTGTGTGTGTGTGTGTGCGTGCGTAAGTGCGTGCGTGCGTGCGTGTGTGTGTGTTATTTTAAAGCACCACCGCGGCTGCTGTCAGAGGCCCTAAATATAACCTACGGGTTGAACTGGGTTTTTGTGACTTGCTCCCGGAAGATTCTCATCCGAATGGTGGCACTTTGTGTTACCGGGTTTTATTGCTTGTCGTGCGGTCCTGGTGGGCCTGAATGTCAGTCAGTCATTTAGTCAGTGAGTCGGTCAATGAGACAAGAGAAGGTACGCCTGGGCGTTAGTCTTGTTTACGTGTACAATAATAATAGTAATAATAATAAATAGTAATAATAATTGTTATTATTTATTATTATATGTTGACAGCAAATAAATAATATATTTGAAATACTAGGAAAGGTACGAACACATACTCTAAAAGATTCTCAGCCCACCCTAAAGGCCCCAACCCACCTCCCTCCTCCTCCTTATGGGAGAGGGAAGGTTTTCCTCATAGTGCCTCAACCTCTAGTTTCCGCCTCCACCCCCACCCCCACCTCACCCCCCCCCCTCTCCCCATTTTTGCATCATGGTGTTTCTGGGACACCACCGTGTCTCAAACTTGTGACAAGGAACTAGCCACTTACTTTGACCTGCCCTGATGCAATCGTGATGGCCGCCGCTGACGTGAAGGCGTTGATAACCGGGTGCGAGATGAAACTGACCAAGATACCTGCAACATTATTACATATTTGTCTTCACATCGAACACAGATCTGACAATCAGCTTACAGTGAAAAACGTAAACCCCTGGTCACTCCTAGCAGTGCCATTCCCTTCAGACCAAGATGATCCATCTGTTTTGTTTTTGACTTCATATATATAATATGCAGGCTCTCCTGTCAAATACGGACGAAGAATAAACAGCCGTGGACGAGTTAGTCAGAGTTCTCTCCCTTGGCCGCACTCCGAACAGTAATCGGAAAACAACGTCACTGTCTTCTTTGTTTCGTTGTGGCTTTTCCGATCACTGTTTGCAGTGTGATCAAGGGAGAGAACTCTGACTAAGTCGTCCGAGGCATTTTAGTCTTCGTCCGGATTTGACAGGAGTACCTAATATGCATATTATAACATGAATATAACATGCTTCATTGATGAAATACAACTGCTGTGTGAAAGATGGAAGTTTGGAAGGGCCGAATGTAAGACAGGCCTGCGTGCCTAATTTGTAACTCTTTGAAAATAAAGTTCGTTCGTTCGTTCGTTCTTTCGTACTGTTGCAAAATCTAGCTTGTCAGACATAGTTCAGCCCTAAGTTGTGCAGAACCAGTCAGTATATCTGCCTGTTCATTTCCTTCTTCTTCTTTCGTTCGCGTGAAATAAGTTGTCTCTATCAGCAGTTTTGTCTCTTGTATGAATGTCACTGTCGTTTTTAGTTCATTCAGTGGTCCATAGAGTTTACGTTCCACTGTAGTTCTTTCTGACCAAAAGGTTCGCCTTAATGTGTCAAATTCGGTGCAGTCCTGGAGTACATGCTCTGCTGTCTGTGGCACCTTTCTACAGGTGCACATGGCTGATACACCTATCTTGAATTTTGTGTACATGTGATTCAAGTACGGATTTCATTTCCTAATGCACCGGCACTTCCTTGAGAAAATATCCATTCGACGCTAACTACCTGAAACCTCTAAAGTGATGCTTGCCACTCTTCACGGAGCACGCCTCTCTGCACCTTTCACAGCGTGCTCTGTGAGTCGGCTAAAATTACCACGTGTGTACAGCTGTTTCTCAAGCCACGCAAAACGTTGCATTACATCGACATGAACAATGAAAAAAATTATTCGATCTACTAGTACTAAACTGTTCATGTCCAACATAGTTAAGACACCATATCTACAAGGAAAGCCAGCGTCAGTGGCTTAGGCATTGTGAACGCGCTTCGTAATGCCGGGGTGTCGGGCTCGTTCCAAGCTGTGAGCGATTTGGCAGTAGAACGTCTTGCGTTGGTTTCGACAGTAGTGCCGAGAGCAGGCCGTTCTGGAAGGCAAACTACTGAACGTAAAATCTACCTAGAAAACCCACAACTGCCCAAAATAAAAATGCTGAGGTTGGCTCTGCAACTTCCTGTAAAGGATAAGTAACTAACCTTTTGTATATACTAGAGTCAAATGTGAGAGTGCCTCTCACTCTCCCCCCCCCTTCCCCCAAAGAAAATAAGGAGTGCAAAGAAAGAAGAAAATAGAGTTAGAATGATGCTCCACAGAAAGAAACAAAGAGGACACATCCAAGTTGTAGGATCCCATGCTGAGTCGAATCAGTTAGTCGTCACACATGCAGCTGTTTCTCTAAACACCTAAACAAATCACCGTAAGATCTTGCTCATCTTAAAAATAACTTAATGTTCTTGGTGTCGTTTCAACACACATACAGGTGTTTTGTTAACCCTTTGAATCTGAAGTAGTAATGTAACTCGTTTTGGTAACCCCTCGGATCTGAAGTAGTAATGTAACTACTTATGTCCTAAAGCGTATATGCTGAACCTCTTTAGACGTAAGAATGTGTTACTTTTAAGTTAAACTTATGGCAGCATAAGGCGTCCTTACTCGCATAGGACTGTGGGTTAACTTGGCTGGTGTAACCGTTAGGAGGAGTCCTAATTATAACATCTCCGGAGGTTGAACGGGGCATCTAAGATCTCCCTTGCTGATCACTTGTCTAGATTCATCATCTGCATCATTTCTTGCCAGCAGGTTTGTAAGCGTTCACGCATCCCCACAGGCTTGGTCTTTGGTGTTTTGGATCAATGCCACTGATGACATTCCTCTACGCCACTGTCTTAAGTCATCCAATATCATTTCTCTTGGTCTGCCTCTTCTACCCGTGATCTTTCCGCTCGTCGCGATATTTTACAGTGCTCATTTTCTCATCACATGACCAAAGAAATCTGTTTTTTCTTCCGTCTAGATTATAATTCTTTAATCTCAGTATGCGATGATAGCAGACCGGATGTGACAACCCCATCGGTCGAATCGATTCAAGGAGTTAAACTAACAACTGCTTGGGGCCGAAAGAGTTAAGAGTTTGACTCTACAGAAAGAGACCCATAGGAAACATACCAAGTTTGAGGATTCCCATGCTCAGCTGAATAACCCCGGTCATGAATGTCAGAGTAATGGCCATGGTGGCGTCCTTCTGCTCCGTTGGTACCTCTGGAAATAGGTCAGTGCCGAATGTTCCAGTCAGGAGCCCCATGATCGCTGTAGGTCCGAGAGTCATGTCTTTGGATGTGCCCAGAAAGCAATACACGAAACTGCCCATGAATGCTGTGTAGAGCCCATACTGCGGGCACGGAATGACACATTGATAATAGTTAGTAAACTAAATTTAAGTGATATTTGACATACTGGCAATAATAATCTAGTTACGTAATGTGTGTGCATTTTTGCATGATGTTAATGCGCGTCTGGTGCTAAATTAACCATAATGATAAGAAGAAGAAAAATAAGTGGTGATGAGGTGGATGAGTTGGATGAGAAGGATATGGAGGAAGAGAACGAGTGGGAGGATGTTGACGAGGGGGGTGAGTAGAATGCGAAGGAGAAGGAGGCTAAGAAGTTGAACCAAGAGACGAAGGAGGAAAAGAAGGAGGAGGAGAAAAAAGGAGGATCAGATTTAAATGTGTGACTACGTAGCTGGCATTTATCTGAATGTTCTTGCCACAAGTGTAACCTATTAAACATACAAATAATGTTCATCAATGTTTATTAGTATGAGTTATGCTACCTGCGGAGGCAGATTTGCAACCTGGGCATATGCCAGACCCTGGGGTATCACAGTTAGACCAACGGTTAGTCCAGCGATGAAATCGGCTTGCAGCGTATCAAAACTGGGGAAATAATAGGATGATGTACACAACGTCGTTAGTTCCTGGTAATATAGCAGAGTGATTAACACTTCTTCACTGACTTGTGGACATACAGCATTGTGTTTTACACTTTTTCACTGACTTGTGAACATATAGCATAGTATTTTACACTTCTTCACTAACTCGTGGACATATAGCACAGTGATTAACACTTCTCCACTGACTTCTGGACATATAGCATAGTATTTTACACTTTTTCACTAACTCGTGGACACATAGCAGAGTGATTTACACTTCTTCACTAATTCGTAGACATATAGCATAGTGTTTTAAACTTCTTCACTAACTCGTGGACATATAGCAGAGTGTTTTACACTTCTTCACTAACTCGTGGACATATAGCATAGTGTTTTACACTTCTTCAATAACTCGTGGACAAATAGCAGAGTGATTTACACTTCTTCAATAACTCGTGGACATATAGCATAGTGTTTTACACTTCTTCACTAACTCGTGGACATATAGCAGAGTGAATTACACTTCTTCACTAACTCGTGGACATATAGCATAGTGTTTTACACATTTTCACTACCTCGTAGACATATAGCATAGTGTTTTACACTTCTTCGCTAAGTTGTGGACAAATAGCGGTGTTTAACACTTCCTCGCTAACTTGTGGACAAATAGCAGAGTTTAACACTTCTTCACTAACTCGTGGACATACAGCATAGTGTTTTACACTTCTTTACTAACTCGTGGACATAAAGCATAGTGTTTTAAACTTCTCCACTAAAACGTGGACATATAGCACGAGTGATTTACACTTCTTCACTAACTCGTGGACATATAGCAGAGTGATTTACACTTCTTCACTAACTCGTGGACATATAGCATAGTGTTTTACACTTCTTCACTAACTCGTGGACATATAGCAGAGTGATTTACACTTCACTAACTCGTGGACATATAGCATAGTGTTTTACACTTCTTCACTAACTCGTGGACACATAGCAGAGTGATTTACACTTCTTCACTAACTCGTGGACATATAGCATAGTGTTTTACACTTCTTCACTAACTCGTGGACATATAGCAGAGTGATTTACACTTCTTCACTAACTCGTGGACATTTGGCAGAGTGTTTTACAATTCTTCACTAACTCGTGGACATATAGCAGAGTGAATTACACTTCATAGACATATAGCATAGTGTTTTACACTTCTTCACTAACTCGTGGACATATAGCAGAGTGTTTTACACTTCTTCACTAACTCGTGGACATATAGCATAGTGATTTACACTTCTTCACTAACTCGTAGACATATAGCAAAGTGTTTTACACTTCTTCACTAACTTGTGGACAAATAGCAGTGTTTAACACTTCTTGACTAACTCGTGGACATATAGCATAGTGTTTTACACTTCTCCACTAAAACGTGGACACATAGCAGAGTGATTTACACTTCTTCACTAACTTGTGGACATATAACAGAGTGATTTACACTTCTTCACTAACTCGTGGACATATAGCAAAGTGTTTTACAATTCTTCACTAACCCGTGGACACATAGCAGAGTGATTTACACTTCTTCACTAACTCGTAGACATATAGCATATTGTTTTACACTTCTTCACTAACTCGTCGACATATAGCATATTGTTTTACACTTCTTCACTAACTCGTCGACATATAGCATAATGTTTCACACTTCTTCACTAACTCGTGGACATTTGGCAGAGTGATTTACACTTCACTAACTCCTTGACTTATAGCAGAGTGATTTACACTTCTTTACTAAGTCGTGGACATACTAACTAGTGGACACATAGCAGAGTGATTTACACTTCTTCACTAATTCGTAGACATATAGCATAGTGTTTTTCACCTCTTCACTAACCAGTGGATACATAGCAGAGTGATTTACACTTCTTCACTAACTCGTGGACATATAGCATAGTGTTTTACACGTCTTTACTTACTCGTGGACATATAGCAGAGTGAATTACACTTCTTCACTAACTCGTGGACAGATAGATAAGTGATTTACACATTTTCACTAACTCGTAGACATATAGCAAAGTGTTTTACACTTCTTCACTAACTTGTGGACAAATAGCAGTGTTTAACACTTCTTCACTAACTCGTGGACACATAGTAGAGTGTTTTACACTTCTGCACTAACTCGTGGACATAAAGCATAGTGTTTTAAACTTCTCCACTAAAACGTGGACATATAGCAGAGTGATTTACACTTCTTCACTAACTCGTGGACATATAGCATAGTGTTTTACACTTCTTCACTAACTCGTGGACATATAGCATAATATTTTACACTTCTTCACTAACTCGTGGACATATATCATAGTGTTTTACACATTTTCACTACCTCGTAGACAAATAGCCGTGTTTAACACTTCCTCACTAACTTGTGGACAAATAGCAGTGTTTAACACTTCTTCACTAACTTGTGGACATACAGCATAGTGTTTTACACTTCTTCACTAACTCGTGGACATATAGCAGAGTGATTTACACTTCACTAACTCGTGGACATACTAACTCGTGGACACATAGCAGAGTGATTTACACTTCTTCACTAACTCGTAGACATATAGCATAGTGTTTTACACTTCTTCACTAACTCGTGGACATATAGCATAGTGTTTTACACTTCTGCACTAACTCGTGGACATATAGCAGAGTGTTTTACACTTCCTCACTAAGTTGTGGACAAATAGCAGTGTGTAACACTTCTTCGCTAACTCGTTGACATATAGCAGAGTGATTTACACTTCACTAACTCGTTGACTTATAGCATAATGTTTTACACTTCTTCACTAAGTCGTGGACATATAGCATAGTGATTTACACTTCTTCAATAACTCGTAGACATTTAGCATAATGTTTTACACTTCTTCACTAACTCGTGGACACATAGCAGAGTGATTTACACTTCTTCACTAATTCGTGTACATATAGCATAGTGTTTTGCACTTCTTCACTAACTCGTGGATAATTAGCAGAGTGATTTACACATCTTCACTAACTCGTGGTCATGTAGCATAGTGATTTTACACTTCTTCACTAACTCGTGGACATATAGCAGAGTGAATTACACTTCACTAACTCGTGGACATATAGCAGAGTGTTTTACACATCTGCACTAACTCGTGGACATATAGCAGAGTGTTTTACACTTCTGCACTCACTCGTGGACATATAGCAGAGTGTTTTACACTTCTTCACTCACTCGTGGACACATAGCAGAGTGTTTTACACTTCTTTACTAACTCGTAGAAATATAGTGGGGTGTTTTAAACTTCTTCACTAACTCGTGGACATATAGTCGGGTGATTTACACTTCTTGGCTAGCAGGGAGATTTATACAACCTAAATAATTTTAAATGGCGCAACGTCTCATAGAGGTTATAAAATCTGCTGTACTCTGTAACTTTGAGTATTGTTCTTTCTGTTCTTTTTTTCGTAATTACATGAGAAAGCGCACAGTAATAACACACTGTGGTAATTATTACCTGTTAGTGAAAAGGGTAAAGAGAGGGGCGAGAAGGGATAGAGACGGAGACAGATGTGAGAGACAGGGAAACAGATAAGGGAGAGAAAGAAGGGAAGAGGGAGATGGAGATGCACAGGGGAAGAGAGTGTGAAGAAAGGAGAGAAACTGAGATGGAACGAGCAGTGAACGAGCGAATGAAGGAACGAAAAACGAACTAAGTTTATTTTCAAAGGGTCACATACTGGGCACGTAGGTCCGTCAAACATTGTGCCCTTTCAAGGGAGCATCAAGAAGGAGAAGAAAAGTAGGTGATAAATGATAATGAAACATGAAAGAGAGAATGGGGGAGAAGAAGATGGTGAGACAGACAGACAGACAGACAGACAGACAGACAGACAGACAGACAGACAGACAGACAGACAGACAGACAGACAGACAGACAGACAGACAGACAGACAGACAGACAGACAGACAGACAGACAGACAGACAGACAGACAGACAGACAGACAGACAGACAGACAGACAGACAGACAGACCAGACAGACCAGACAGACCAGACAGACAGAGATACTTGCTTGTATTTAGGCAACCACGTGACAATTGGAAACGTGTTGACGATAGTCTGTAACCTGAAGGTTCGGCTACAATACTGTCTCACGTGTCTGCGTAGAGTGGCCCATTCTGACGTGGTGACCTCTCTACCCTCAACGTCATCGTCCCCCCTGATCTTTTTCGCTTCTGACGCTGTGCCACCATTCTCCATTGGCTGCACATAAAATTTGTCACACATGAATGATACAAAGTACCTTGTAATCTATCTATCTATCTATCTATCTATCTATCTATCTATCTATCTATCTATCTATCTATCTATCTATCTATCTATCTATCTATCTATCTATCTATCTATCTATCTATCTATCTATCTATCTATCTATCTATCTATCTATCTATCTATCTATCTATCTATCTATCTATCTATCTATCTATCTATCTATCTATCTATCTATCTATCTATCTATCTATCTATCTATCTATCTATCTATCTATCTATCTATCTATCTATCTATCTATCTATCTATCTATCTATCTATCTATCTATCTATCTATCTATCTATCTATCTATCTATCTATCTATCTATCTATCTATCTATCTAACTATCTATCTATCTATCTATCTATCTATCTATCTATCTATCTATCTATCTATCTATCTATCTATCTATCTATCTATCTATCTATCTATCTATCTATCTGTATATCTGTCTGTCTGTCTGTCTATCTATCGCTCTCTGTTTCTGTTTCAATGGTGAGGTGTGCTCAATTCGCACATGTAAGCGTTAGCAGGTAACAACTATACTGGCGAGGATATCACTTCAAATTGCTGTTGACAGTAACCGTGCGCAGCTAGCAGCCTAGTTTAGTAACTGGCAGTTTTTTACATGAGTGGGCGTAAGCATGCAACGAACTTTGTGTGTGTGTGTGTGTTGTTGTTGCTATTTTCCAGTAGAAAACCCAGTGGCGTATTTGTAATAAAAAGAAAATAGTAAAAATAATTTTAAAAAAGTAATGTATTTTTGGGGAAGAGGGGGGGGGGGGGGGGGGGGGGGGGGTAATGAAATGTGTAAAAGGGAATTAAAGGAGTTGCATAAGCTCTAGTCACTGTTCTCTCTCTCTCTCTCTCTCTCTCTCTCTCTCTCTCTCTCTCTCTCTCTCTCTCTCTCTCTCTCTCTCTCCCTCTCTATTTACAGTACTCGAGGCATCCCCGCAAGCCTCCATCTCCAATTTCAGCAGCTAGCCCAGAGTTCCATTACCAATGGCACCGGTAGCATTCTGATTATGTGTCCGTTTTGCTATTGCTCCGCCAGATCCTCTCCTCACTTCTCGCTGCACCACTTTCACCAGACTGTGATGATCCATTTGCTCTTCCGAACTGTACATGTACTTCCATAAGAAATCTTGAAAACTATTACACCTGTTGCAGTTTGGATTAACTTACAATCAGTGAAAATTCGACAGCACTCAGCTAGTCCTCTTCTTACAGCACAAAAGAATCCGATCAGCACCCAAAAAACAACCGTATTCAAAGTATATTCATTAGTAACTTATGCTACCTGTGCCAGGCGTGGTTACTCACAACGAAACAGGAAATAAAATTAATAACCATGGAAATGAGATCTCTGAGAAGAGCTGCAAGAGTGACCAGAAGAGATGAAATCAGAAATTAGGTCATAAGAGATGAAGTCGTCATAGAACCAATTCTAAATTACATACATAGACAGCAAATCATTTGGTTTACCCACTTGGAGAGAGTTAGTTAGTTAGTTAGCTAGTTATTTAGTTTGTGATCCTTTGTTTCCCTCTAAAAAAAAGTTCTTTCGTTCGTTCGTTAGTTAGTTAGTTAGCTAGTTAGTTGGATAGTTAGTTAGTTAGTTAGTTAGTTAGTTAGTTAGTTAGTTAGTTAGTTAGTTAGTTAGTTAGTTAGTTAGTTAGTTAGTTAGTTAGTTAGTTAGTTAGTTAGCTAGTTAGTTAGTTAGTTAGTTAATTAGTTAGTTAGTTAGTTAGTTAGTTAGTTAGTTAGTTAGTTAGTTGGGTTATCACTATTGCACTCCGGACATGTCCATAGATTTTCAGATTCTCCCATCTGCATGAACCCCAGCGTCCGGTGGCTAATAGTACCAGTTCTATGTTTATTAGTTATTATTACCAAGTCCTCTGGTGTGCGTCTCGTTTTTGTTGTTGTTGTTGTTGCTATACCGAACTCTCAAGTCTATCATTCTGGCAAGTTATGTGGATTTACTGCCCCAACGTCCTCCACTCTTTCTATTTCTCGGAGAGCATTAATAATAACAGCATGATCCATAGGCTGACTGTCAATAGTGATAATTGATACAGCCAACCTATCAGCTAGTTCATTTCCATCGACGCCTTCTTGTCCCGGCACGACTCCACACACAGTGGACTTATGTATTGATTCAAGCCATTGTCTTCGCACTGAAACTGCCTGAACCCTCCGGATCACACTCATAGAATCACTGAGTACACCTGCGCGGGTATTGTTTTGTGTTTCGAGCCAGGCGAACGCTTGCGTTACTGTCATCACCTCCACGGTCATGCTGCTGGTTGTCATGGAGATGGCTTAGAGGCAATGACTTGTGACGCCATACCATATAAGGTACATACCAAAAGAGGAAATGACGTAGAGCACAATTTAGACCAAGAGCAATACGGAAAGATGACACCGGAGAAAGCCTACAACAACACGAACAGTGCTACCCAGATTGAACGACTCGAAAAGGTGCAAAATGAAGCCATGCACATTATTTTGGGATGTACAAGAGACACGTCCTGTGGAGCAATGAGGTATCTACTTGACTTTCCAACAATGAACCAAAGGATCAGGATGTGGAGGGCTCGGGCATATCTCAAAATTTGTGCTGATAACTCATCAGTGAAAATTCAGACGAAGCAGATGCACTAATCTAAACTGGTACTATTAGCCATCGGACGTTGGGGTTCATACTGAGGGGAGGATCTGAGCACCTATGGACATGTCCGGAGTGCAATGATGATAACCCAACTAACTAACTAAACTAACACGAAGTGTCTACGCTCGAGGCGGTCAAAAGAGCAAAAAGCAGAACCGTGAACATATCTTCCCCAACACCTGAAGCGGTAAAAGTGGAATGAAGAAGAATATTCATTTGTCCATCCATTATCTACAAAGTCTTGATTCGAATATCTAATTGCTTATTCGTTGTCCAAGTTTTTGTTTTATTTCGTGTGGTTGACTAAATACAACATTAAAGGAATCTCCGTTACTTGCTGGGTTATTTTGGCCAGAATAACATTTGAATTAGAGTAGTACACAAATATTCGAATAAACCCACCTGTACAACTAGCATTGTGCACACACAAACATGTACGCACCTTCATGGGAGGGAACTGGTTCTCGGTGAGTGATTGCCTTTTATATTATCTCCCTTGGCAAGTTAACCATTTAATATATTTACGACATTGACGTTTTCAGGTCAAGAGGGTATTGTAAATTGTGCAAGGTCTTAAAAGAAAGTCATTTACACGTTTTCACTTAATAGATTTTTTTTTTTTTTTTTTTTTGGCGTCTTCTTCTTCTTCTTCTGCTTCTTCTGTTTCTTCATCATCATCATCATCATCATCATCTTCTTCTTCTTCTTCTTCTTCTTCTTCTTCTTCTTCTTCTTCTTCTTCTTCTTCTTCTTCTTCTTCTTCTTCTTCTTCTTCGTCTTCTTCTTCTTTTTCTTCTTCTTCTTCTTCTTATTTCTTCTTCTTCTATTTCTTCTTATTGTTTCTTCATATTCTTTCTTCTTCTTCTTTCTATTTCTTCTTTTCTATTTCTTCTTCCTTTTTAATCATCTTCTTATTTTCCTCATAATCCTACTAGTATTACTCTTTCTTATTCACACCATCCTCTTTGAACTTCTAGTCGACTAAGACCCTTCTAGACGTAATTTATTCAATGTTGATCCTCTTTAAGGACGTTGTCCTTTTTATTTAGGACGTTGCAAACTAACTCGGATATCTATTGGATGTCTGGGGTTTTACAAGACAGGTTTACGTTAAGTAGTTTGCTATTGTTTCCTTAACGGTATGACGGCCGTACCATAACTAAAATAAATTTTTTTGTTTGTTTGTTAAAAGCAGCGTCCAAATCGTCTGCGGCAGATTTGAGAACCCAATGCATCGTGATTGTGCAACCGTGTACACAACCTCTAAGCCCCAGAGGCCAACCCGTAAAGCACGTAATGTATACCATGAGATCTTAACTTTGTGTCAGGCTACAGTAAAACAATGACTGTGCAATACACGCCGTGTCTTGGCCCACTTTAGATATAACAGTAAAAGCTAATGATAGTTCTAACATGTGAATCACCATGATTGCGACTAAAGAGAAGGAATGATAATTTTAAAGTATTTAGCAGTGATAACGATATTTATCTCGAAAGTCAATGTTAGTTCATTTTCTATAGTTCTAAAATGTTTAGTGTGTTTGATTATACAACCTGATCAACATCATTGCACAAATATACCTATAAGTGCTCTGTTCTACTTCTAAATTAGAAAAAAAAAATGTGCCAAAAGTTCTCTTAAAGAATTCATTTTTCGGCAATCCTCCGAATTACGGTCCTAAATTATCGAGGCGGAAAATATACCTTAACAGGGCCTCATTCAAGTGTCCGGTCACGTGTGAATTGCGCACTTTTCGTCGTCTTAAATTGCGCTCTTCCACCACCGCCGAGCGTATCCCGATACGCCGCTCACGCGGCGTGGATTGGGGCTAAACTAGATGGCTGGGACTCACGAGCAGCAGCTACCGCATCTCCTGCAGCTTCCTTCATTTTATCTGCTCGTGGGTCCTAGCCATCTAGTTTAGCCCCAATCCACGCTGAGATACTCTCGGCGGTGGCGAAAGTGGCCGGAAGTTCGCAATTCGGTGGTGGCGTTATAGTCACCGGAAGAGCGCAATTGACACGTGGCTGAGGTCCTGTTAGGAAATATTTTCCGCCTCGATAATTTAGGACCGTTATTCAGAGGATAGCCTATTTTTCTACCACATGAGTGCACGGGGTAATATTTTGTAACCAGAATTGGATACACGTGACTCCTTGCGTATGAAAGTACATTGGGGGGGGGGGGGCGCTAGCGAGAGACCGAGTTTGTTTAAGGCAGACCGTGATGAGAGCAAGGTTCTGCAAAGGACCTGCTACATGATGATGATGATATGTG